ATATTCAGGAAGCGAAAACCGAATGAAAAAGAAAGGGTCGGAAATTGGAGTAAAAATGTTGATACTATAGAAAGAATAGAAAGGAAATTAGGTCAAAGTCATTATTATGTGGAAGGTATGGACAGACCTTATTTAAGATTTGAGTTGTTAAAGGTTTAAGCCACATTTTGAATGCACAATTCGAGTTTTTAAATTGATGTCGTGTGCGCGACGCTTCTGACTTTGTAGTCTGTAAATCTGTAAATGTTGGACACAAAGTGGCTGTGCTTTGGGCTTGTTGAATGTCGCACCGACTTTCGTGCGCGAAGCAAGGTCCGCTGTGCAGCCTGCCATAGAAACACCTGTGTTTGCACGTACTGGTTGAGCACTTTCCTGTTCTTGTGGAATATTCGAGCTCTGCCAACTGAACACTTTTCTTTTCATCCCTGGAATTATTCTGGCTGTGGAACTACTGCGGCTGCCTATACCGAACATTTTTCTGTTCGACTGTGGATTACCTCCAGCTTACCTGCCGAACACCATTTTGTTCATGTCACGAATACATTTTGGTTCACTTGCGCGGCTTTTTGGATTCACCTTTCGAGCACTTTTTTACTCGCCCGACACTTTGCTGTTGACCGCTGAACCAAAACCTGAGATGCTGCGAAGGAGTCTAAACGAATCTGCTTTCGGAATGCTACCTAACATTTCTGGATTAAGAGCACTTGACTGCCAAGAGATTTGAGCAACCATGGAACTGCAAATAGCCAAACTATTGGACCCCAGTTCCGAAAGGAGTGTAAACGACTTGGCTGTAACTAAGGGTCCCCCTATTGGGTCTCGATATTCGTTTTGAAAGAGTAACCCCCCGCACCAAACAAGATTTAGGTCCAGCCCTCAATGATTGCCACTTGCAGTTCTAAGGTGAGGGACTTGGGGCTTAGAAATGCTAATGCTGTCGCTTGCAGGTAGGTGAGGGGCAACCTTGGAATTTCCCATCCACCGCGGGCAAAGTCGCTTTTCTCACCCGACGTTGGCTTCAATTCGTCACGCGTGCCCGCTTCGCAGGATGCTCGACACTCTCTTCGTCCTCACTTTGCGCGGCGCTCAGCTCGCACACAGTTTCCCAATGCGTCAACACATTCTGGAAATGCAAATGCGAACTATCTATGAAGTTCTTGTACCGATCAGCAAGAACTCTTCTGTACGGCATTTGTTCTGGGGACAGCCGCTGAAAATCATGGTGCGCATATCGCTTCCAGACTCTGCCATTTTTGGCGACTGACAGTCGCACAGCCCAGTCACCAGAAGAGCAAACAATAGTCCACCTTCCGCCATCAATGCCTGGAACGAGTGCCAGTCCATCATCGTCAAACAAGCCATGGCAAGCTCCTGTAAAACCTGTGCAGAGCCGTATACTGTTGCGGACATCGTCGAAGTGGAATGTCCGAGCGAACTGTCTGCCCTTGTTGGACGTCTGATAAGATGGCGTTTTCGTAGCAATGTACGCCACAGAGAGACAGCGCGAGTCGTCCAAACCACAGAGTGCGCAGACGGGATAAAGCTCTTTGCATGCCCGCATTGTCTCACGGCTAAACGCGGCTGCGGCCTCACCGTGGCTGGACTGCCCTGCAGAGCTGTCTCCTTTTTGAAACCTTTGGATCTGCACAAGCTGATTCTCAAGGTTCCGGAGTCGCGCTTGTGTTTCCTTCAGGGGAAGGCAAGCAAGCACCCGAATCTACAACAAACCCCAACCATGCAGAAAGTCGACACTAAACCACCTATCCCCAAAACCACCCGAACCACCAAACTAACCAAGCAATGAATCCTAGCAAGGACCAAACCTCCTAGCGTGAACTACTTATTTAAAGGGGGCTAAATAGGCTAAGTAGTGGAAATAAGCGGGGAGTTAAACCTGAAAAACAATCCAAAAAGATTTGCACAACTCATTGTGCCTCTGACGGCTGCGATCTTTGCAGCAGCAACTCTTTGTCCTTTTGCGCATTCTGCATCCTCTGCGTCAAGAACTCAATGACGTCGCTGTCTCGAGGTTCTTGTTTCAGTGCCGCGTCCAGTGCTTTCTCGGCGCTTTCATAACGCCTTTTCGCTTCTGCCCATTCGGCTGCCCAGTCTGTAGGGCGGTTCCTGGAAGAGACAGCATGAGCCATGTCGAGACTCCGGCGCAACGAGCGTCCTAGATAAGGGTTTAGGGTTTAGGGCTTAGGGTTTAGGGTGTCCTAGATAATGTTCCAACTACTGTTTTGAAACAGGCTTTCCGTTATAACATCGGGCTGTGACCGCAGAACAGGACCTCCTTGGCGTGACTGCCTGAAGCTTGAACACTGTGCTGCGTCATAGTGGAACTGATGTCCTGCACCCTTTAACCTGAACCCAGTAAATCTATGAAGGAACCCTTGCCCATTTTGGGTAATAATACCACCTTAGGGAATATTGGTTATTCCTATACTGGTCTTGGTAATGGGGTAGTAGTGGTGATATATTGGGTGGGGTGTAGTAGGGAGTATAGGAATAATCTTCTTATATGGATGAGGTAATCGGTTATTCGTATACTGGTATTGGCATTATTGGTCATGGTGTAGTAGTAGTGATATCGTTGGTGA